CGGCCTGCCCGACACCAGCTCCTGCAGCGCCGGTTCCCGATGAGGCTCCGGTGGCGCTGGTCACGCTGCAACGGAGGGAGAGAGGGTGCCTGGTGCCAAGGGCCTCCAGGCTGATGGCGGTGCAGGAGTCGCGCTGCGCTGTGCGCTGGGGTCATTGGCAGAGCCTTGTTCTCTGGCGGTTCGTCGTTTCCACGATTCTCCTTTCCCCTCCTCCCCGAGGTCCCTCCCACCTGTGGGCTGGTGAGCGGCGTCCTGCTGGTCCAGACTCCTCTGCGGGCACCCGCCGCTGCCACCTCCTCACCCAGCTGCTCCGTTAGACCCACCCCTCAAGGTCCTGGCCGCCCAGACACTGCACAGGCCCGTCCCACCCGTCTGCGAGGTCCGGCGAGCGCCGTGGACTTTGGAGAAAGTGTTCGCTTTTTAAAGAAACTGACCGGCCCTGCGTGCGCGCTGCCACGCCACCTCCCGGGCTCGGGTTCCCGCCCCGCCGCACGCCGCCGCCCTCGTGTGGGTTGTTCAGCCACGTGCTCTGATGACGGATAAACCGATTTATGTTCTACCATCAATGAACATGAGGACAACAAACAACACAACAGACAACGGTGCTGATCCTGGTGTGGTTCCCACTCACCATGTGAAAATATCAACTGTACAAAGAACAAAGTGATTTTAGAATAAAACACAGGAAACTGCGCCGCCGCCCTCGTGTGGGTTGTTCAGCCACGTGCTCTGATGACGGATAAACCGATTTATGTTCTACCATCAATGAACATGAGGACAACAAACAACACAACAGACAACGGTGCTGATCCTGGTGTGGTTCCCACTCACCATGTGAAAATATCAACTGTACAAAGAACAAAGTGATTTTAGAATAAAACACAGGAAACTGTTTAAAGCGTTAGCCCTGTAGTGAATAAACTCGCCGCCGCCTTCTGTGTGGTGGCCTGCAGGTCACCCTTTTCGTTGGCATATACTTTTTTAAAAACTGTAACTAGTGCAGTAACCGTGGGGGTTTTGTGCGACTCTAAAACATTCATACGCGGTCATGTTTATTTTTTTCTGTTAAATGTTTTTGACAGTTTTAAGAGCAGTCTTTTGGCTCAGACCATTTCTTGTTCTGTTTTCAATGAAATCAATAAAAGAAAAACTTTAAAGGAGGTTTTCATTACGAGACCCTGTTCCAGCTGGTTTTTCGGCACCTGCGCTTCCGCCGGCGCTCGTGTCGGCATGTGCGTGTGCACGTGTCGCTTTGTGCGTGTGCACGTGTCGCTGTGTGCACGTGTCAGCGTGTGCACATGTTAGCGTGTGTGCGTGTGCACGTTGGCGGGGCAGCAGGTCCAGCGCAGGCGCCGAGGGGAAACGAGAAACGTGGGGACGACAAACCGCACAGAAATACAGACACGATGGCCATGGCAGGTAAGTCCCCAGATTGGAGTCCGATCTGATCTGTGCGTGACCGTGATGTAGCTGCGCAGTCCTCCTGCCGGGCGGCCACCCTGGTCAGGGTCCACGCCTCTGCCCCATGTCCCTGTGTCCGTGTTTTCCCAGGTGGGGCTGACCTCCTCCAGG